AACATTCATATATAACTAGTGCATTGGGCACTGCGGCATGGAGTTGGATCGGGTGCCCCTCATCTGCCATCATGTACTGAGTCGGTTGAAAATAGACCAACTTTCCCTTCAAACACTGATGATTTAATGTAATTTCTAAGGTAGCAGGCAGACAAGTGATATGACTGCATTACATTTACAAAAAACATGCATCGCTTTAAAATATTGATGTCGTAGCATTTTCAGCATCAACATCATTGATTACGCCGACTAATCCCGGCAGCGTTTAGTGTTTTTCAATCTAGACAAGACCGTGCAGTCCTTATCTTCAAAACAATATTGAATTTCTCTGAGTTCTACTGTGAATCTGTTTGCCAGTGTGGTTTCCCTCTAATGCTAAACCGAGGTCGGCCGTGCCTTCATTGATTAATTCATGCAACTGTTTTTTTTTTTCTTTTTGTTCCCCCAGAGGAGAGAAGTCAGAAAGCAGGAGCAAGCCAGCAACCCGTTCTACATCAAGGCCTCCCCATCCTCTCAGAAGGTGTGCTCACCCAGTCTTTTTCACTGCACATGCCTTTGCTGAATCCAGTCTGTTGTATACGAAATAATTATAGTATGTCCAATACCTGTAGTTAAAAATATATATACACAAGTCGTGTTTTAAATGCATGTCGTCTTTGTGTAGGTGTACCAGGAGGCTCCCGGAGTGGACCACATCCCAGTCGTGCAGATTGACCTCAGTGTGCCTCTCAAAGTCCCAGGTAGCACACGCTGTTACGACACTACTACAAAACACTCCTTTCTCACTAGCAACTTTCAACATTATACAAAAATTAAAATGGCTTATTTTACAGCAATCGTACTGTAATTCATTTAGAATGAACAATAATTTAGCGAATTGTCTTTGGCAAATCCGACCCCATGGTGACCTAGTATATTAGTAATAAGACATCATGCATGTTGCTGTCCTCTCTCCCACAGGTCTCCCGATGTCTGACCAGTACGTGAAACTGGAGGAGGAGCGTCGGCAGAAAGACAGAGCGGACAAGAAGAAGAAGGAGAAGAAGAAGAGGAAAGAAAAGCGCAGCGGACGAGGGAAGAAACATGATTCAGGCCCCGAGAGCGAGGAGGACATCACGCCTGCGCACATGGTCGACATCGTTACCGAGGAGATGCCAGAGGTACAACGGAGCTGTGTGAACGTCACAACGTGTATGAAAGGCATCGTGACTCGTAGTATTAAAATGCATCGGATTTCAATGTAATTATGTACATCATACACAGTATAGGTCATTTGTACTCTACCGAAGACTGGAGTTTAATGTAAAAAGATGATGTTTGTTCCAAACTGTGAACATGTGGACGTGAATCTCAGTCAGAAGTAAATACCATAGTTGTTTACTTGGTCGTTTGGGTTCTAAGACTGGAAGTCAATATCTCTACAGATCGCTTCACATTTAGCGTGTTGTGAATATAGATTTACTTTGAAAGTTATTAACTGTGTGTTATTGATTTTGACCCTCTCATTACTTCAGAATGCCTTACCCAGTGATGATGATGACAAAGATCCCAATGACCCTCACAAAGCCCTGGACATCGACCTGGACAAGTGAGTCCACACAGTGGAGATGTACCTGGACTCTACATAAGCTCTTGTGTAAATTTAACTACGGACATAGTGTTAGAGTTGCTGAAACCCATCATTTACGTATCTGAAGGTGCTAATCAGCCAATTGTTGAAACTTTAGGTTTTCTGTCCAAATCTAGAGCTGAGGAACACCAACGTTGAATCTTGAATGTCTTTTTTTAATCTGGATATCTTCTCAGTCTGATTTATTTCCTGACTTTCCCGGCCGTAGAGTCACAGGCGACGTGACTTGGCCCTTTCCCTCCTCTCACTCCTTCTCATGGCGTTCTGCTTTCTGCTTCCTCTTTTCTATGCCTACACACACACCCATCACTGCCTCTTTGTGTGGCAGCTTGGTGGAGATGGCTGGGCGAAGGTGAGTAGCACCCCAGCTGCAGGAGCTGGGCTCCAACTATTCATGGATGAACCTCTGTCTCTCTCTCTCTGTCTAAATAGCTCTAGTCTTGCTCCTCTCACTAACATAGCTGTTCAGTCTATCCAGGTAGTTTGCAGCACCTGCTCCCTTTTTTTTTTTTGCTCTTCTTTCCCAGTATTTTTAATGTCTTTCATTGTCGCCTTTGACCTAGTCTAACATCTATAACCCTTTTCTCTGACCCTGCTTCTTTTTTAAACTGCTATAAGCTTGACAATATCAGCAGCATATCATTTCTAAACAAACTGTTCTACGATTGCTCTGTCTTTCAAAGAAGAAGAAGGTATATCTCTAATAACAGTTGGTCCATATTTAACAAAGATTATTTTTAACTGGCTGCTGCTGCTGATTTTCTCAGGACTTAACTTTCACTACCTGTCCTCCTGGAACAGACTCCTAAAAGCAATTTGGCACTTAACACCATCAGCATCAATCTGCTTTTAGGAAACTCATCCCAGGAGTTAGGTACTATAATTCTTTTGCCAACATTTCCCAGATCCTCCTCAGTTCGGCAGACTTGCCATGCCTCCAAATTGTCACCAGCTGGTTTTTTAAACCAGCTGCCTGCCTTTGGTGGAAATAACAAGCACATGTGCCTTGAGACCAATTCGATGTTTTACAGTAGATCATTTTGAATTGTTTTGATAGTATATGAGGTTAAACTCGTATTTAAGGCCAAGAAATGAAAAAAAAAAGAGTAAAGATTGTGCTGGATTTCTTGGAAACATCTGGAGGAAACTGTTCATAGAACATACATTTCTGTCATGGCTGTCCTTTGCTAAAAAATCTCCCTCAATGTAATGAAAACCAATAAAAATAGTTACTTCTAGAAAGTTAAAACGACAGTAGTGAATGCATCTTGATAATTTAAAAAAAAAGCACAAGCATCATTATCCAAGGCCTGAAAGAGAGCGGCGTGCTTTTTATAGAGAATAACCAGCAGGGGGCTGCAGTGCATGTGGTTATTGCTTTAAAGGGCCAGGCTGGGGGGAATACACTTGACAGCTCCTATTAGTTCAATATGGAGGAATTTATTGGTGTAGTTTCTATTTGTTGGGGAAGTTCCAGTGCTTCTAGCTCTGCCAGACGAATGGCTTAACGCAACGCTTTGAATGAGACCTGGCTGCTGCGCAGTGCAGAACATGTGCCTGAATACTGTACATTTCTGCACCCTATGAACCGCTGTTCACCTTTTCTAACACTACCAGAAAATACAATATTTTTCAGATGATGGCACCGGCTCCAGGTGGACCGTAATCTCATCATAAATCCTTTTCTACACAAAAGTCAAAATGTGTGTCTCTGCGTTTCCGTTCGTCCAGGCCACTTGCCGACAGTGAGAAGCTGCCAGTCAGGTCCCATCGTGCATCAGAGGCTCTCAAAAGCCCCGCTGAAGATGGCGACGCAGAGAGTGCTGCTTCACAGGAGCCCAAGAAGAAGAGCAGCAAAGAAAAGAGAGAGAAGAAGAAGGATAAAGACAGGGATAGGAAGGTGAGGGTAAAAGTAGTTTTCCTCCTGGAAACCAGGCTCGCCTCATTCTGTCTAACTGCTGTATGGATGTATATTTATGGAGCTGTCTGAGCGAGAGGGGGGGGGGGGACAACAAGGACCTGTCAACCATTATGACGTGATGAGTCAGAGGTTGTGGTTCTCTCAACCTTTGTTGTGACACAGCTGAATTTATTTGCGGGTTGTTGTTTTTTTTGCAGAAGAGCAAAGACGAGAAGAAGAAGAAACACAGACATGAAGAAAAGGGGGAGGATCTTCTTGGGGGTCAGGCAGATGAGCCTGTGGTCCAATCAGAAGAAACCAGTGAGGTGGTGGCACCGCCCGCCTCCAACACTGCTGAGGTATGTTCTTACAAAAGGGTGGAGCGAGGCCGTTTCTTAACTAGTAACAGAGTTTATACCTAAGATCTGACTTGACCCAGAATTATGATTTAATTAGAGAACCTGATCTAAAATTCATGATGAAAAATGGCTTAAGAATATCATTATATGTAGTGTACAGTTTCTGCTAAAACGTTACACGCACACCGATACCTTTGATCATTTTCATTGACGCCACACTTCCATTGCTTCCCTCAGCTTGTCTTTCAATCAGCTTTAGTGATCAAGTATCAGTTTCCCAGCAGCAGACTGCAGCAGTCTCTCGCCAAATACTTGATTTATTCATGAAATGGAACTGCGTAATCTCTGGATCCATTTTCATGAATAGTAGAAAGATACAGAACCTGTTTGGCCCTCGCCCCTCTCACCTCCGCGCACTCCTCTCCCTCCCTCCTTCTTCTAGGTTTCGGATCTGGATTTCTGGCTCTCAAACGCTCCAGTGCCCTCTAACACCCAGGTTGAGTCTCTCCCCTCCCCTTCTCTCTCTCTCCTCCCCTTATCTCTCCAGTTTATACTTTCCTCTTTCATAACTCCACGTTTTATTGATCTTCTTCATATGTTGTTGTTTTTTTTGTTATCCCTCTACTGCCATCAGTTTGTTTATTTTGTCACGTCTTCAGCACCTCACCTTTTTGACACGACTTCCTCTTTCACAGGTCACATAACACTTTCCTCTCTCACTCTCCAGCCTTCCTATGTTTACCAGCATGTCTGTATGTATGTCTGTGTGCACAGTATGTGCCAGTGGTTCTCTTCCTCTGCTTTTGTTTTATAATAATATTATTATGAACGCGTCTTCGTTTTTGTTTGTACGCACATGCATGGACACGTGCCGGCGCAATCGTCAGTCCTGCCGCAGATTTCAAGCTATTCTGCTGTTCAAAATTTGGCTGCGGTAATGCACGATGAAATATAGCAACGCGCCAACAAAGGCAGTGAAGAAAAACACGGCTAGCTAGTAAACATTGATGTAAAGACTTTGTTACCTCGTATTTCCAGTCATTATGCTAAGCTAACAGACTCTCCACCTCCATACGAGCGTCGTATCAATGTTTTCATCTACCTCGGCAATAAATTGAATCAACATATTTCCCTAAATGTCACACTATTCCTTTAACCGTACCAGATAGCTTGTGACATTCAACAGCTTCCATACGTTCTCCTCTGTTGCTATTGGGTTTGTGAAAACCAGGTATGTCGAGCATTTCAACTTTTTGAGTAGTTCTGTTTGTAATCACGAGAGCTGTCAGCCCTTAAGTAAAAGCACTGTTGACCTAGAAACGCTACCCTTTAAAGACATGCCTCGACATGTCTCTTGTGGGTGTTTTTTTTTTTTTGTATTTGTTGTCACAGTAGACTCATTGAGAGCTTCCAATAGCATATGTGGAGGCTGTCACAAGGATCCTGTAAATCAGAGATCTGTTAGTGTGGCTGGTTAGTACAGTCCATCCAACAGCACAAAATGATGCCACTGCACATGTTCAGATACCTACAGACATGACACACTTGTTACGCTGGTTAGAAGTCTTGCATGTGAGGCACTAGGTTTACCAAATCAGGTTGTGGTACCACAGAGCTCGTGTGTTGCAGCTGAACATGAGTGACTTTTTGTTTTATGAATGAGTGAACTCCCTAACTTCGTTTAACCTCTATCAGCACCGAAGTGGCAAACACAGCTGTATGTGTCACATGCTATGGTTGCTCACTGCTAAGGCCTTTGTGTGTTTTTGTGGTGTGTGTACGTGAACAGGAAGCAGCCACCTTACCAGCAGCAGTAGCAGCCCCCGTGCCTGAGACGGCCTCTGGCACGGCGCCAGACTCCGAACCCGATGAGCCCAAAGACACCGAGCCGGAGGAGACTGTGAGTCCCCTGTGATGATGCGATAATTGCAAAGTAGAAAGTTTGGCCGTGTTGCTAGAGATTCCAGTTCACAATGACCTGACAGTACGCTGCACGTTGGCAGCTCTTATTCTCACGGGTTTGTGTAAATGATGTACCACAGACCTGCCAGTAATTGTGTGATCTCTGGAGGAGTATCTCTGCCAGTAACCACGTTTCATTACCAGAATATCTGATAAAACTGTTACCGTCTTCCTTGTGGGGGTTCTCAAGGATAAGAAGTCCTCCAAACACAAGAAGAAGAAGCAGAAAAAGGAGAAGGAGGAGAAGGAGAAGAAAAAGAAGAAGAAGCATCATCACCACCATCGCCACAGTGACGGAGGCGTGGAGGAGTCTGTGCAGAATGGCACCGTGGAGGAGGAGGAGGAGGAGGAGGAGCCTCTGCCGGTCAGTGTCATCAGAGTTTAACAGCCTAACCTCACTGTTAAACCTAAGTGTGAATGAAAACATTCAGCACACTCTCAGCTCAGCTTTTTATTCTATGCATCGAGGGGGAAGAAAAACAAGTCACATGTCACTGACCTCAAAGACGCAAATATCCTGATGCTGCGTTGAGGCAGTATTATTTATCCTCATTTTAATGTGTGCCTCTTGCCTCAACTGTTTAAACCACCTGACTGCACACACACACACACTCACACACACACTGTGTGAACCAGCTCCCGTTGCCTAGTTAGCATACAGAGTGACAGAGAATGCCTGTTCTGACCTGAGCTCCTCTCTCCTTTCAGCCCATGTCCAATTACTGCCTGCTGGCTGAGAACTCCTACATCAAGATGGTGAGTGATGGCGAGATGCTTCTGAAGGAGGGACTTGTGCCGCTGGGCTCGGAAAAATCCTGTTTTTCACTCATCGTCCGAAATAGTTTTGTTCCCTATTTGGCCTCAATATAATTTGATTTCACAATATCTAAAGCTGCATTGATGCTGCTCTGACGGGGCTGTTCCCACCATCAGATTGTGTTGTGCATTCTTTATTTATCCCATTTATTACATTCTTAATTAACTTTATGATAAAGACGGATGATGAAAAGATTTGCACTAGACACGGGTTTGTTTGCCAGATTACAACGCACATTTCTGTCTGCTTACTGAGACGGAGAAACGTCTCTGATCATCTGATGGACCTTGTGACGTTTGCCTTCAGTCGGCTCTGTTGTTCTGCAATAAAATTAATTAGTAAAATGTTCTTACTAATATTAAGATCCAGGTTGTGGAAAATCCTGCAAATTCTAACTGTCCTCTGCGTAGACGAATATGGAAACGATCGTGGTGATGTTCATGTTTAGGCTGTTTTGTATTAATGTGAGAAGTGTCTCAGACAACGGTAGCAGTAATAAAAAAAGAATGTATGCAGATCCTCTCCTTTTCTCTCCCTCTCTTCAAAGATGATGGAGGATGCCGATCAGGTACCAGTTGAAGTTCTGTCAGTGACAGAATATTATTAAAACACTTCTCTAGATGTGTTTCTCTCTGTTCTTCATGCTCTTAACGGACTAACTAAGGCCGACTATGTTAACGTGTCTGAGAATGATTCTGTCCTTGTGATTTTTCTCCTTGTGCTCTGAAACTGCAATGTGTGCTTTGGTGTTGGGTTCATAAATCAAGATTTACTGTGTGTCTACTCTAAATAATCATCACTCTGTGAATTACAGGGCGGGAAATTTAGACAGCTCGATTCCACATGCAAATTTGATAAAAATCTTCTTTTTTTTTTTTTGTCCCACAAAGGAAAATGACATCCAGGGAAACCTGCAGGATGGCAGTCAGGTGGTGGTGTCTGTTATATTTGAAAACAAGTGTGACAGCTTCCTCAAATCCATGGAGTTCAACGTCCTGGACTCCCTCAACTCCAAGCTGCAGAGGGCAGAGGGCTCGGGTCCACATGATGGCCTCACCGTCCCCTTCCAACTTCCACCGGGTCAGTGATTATATGCAAAATGTTAAGTTGTTAGTTGATTTCACTAAAAGATACTCATGCACAACATACCAGTTTCTATATTATATGTAGAGTCATTGTGTACCTCATTGTAGTAACTTTTGGGAAGTTTTGTAGAGTCTTAATTACTTAGCCGTGAACTTTTCTCTTCAGGGGTGTCCAACGAGGCGCGATTTGTCTTCACTGTGCAGAGCATCGTAATGCCACAGAAACTGAAGGGAACCCTCACCTTCATAGTAAAGGTCTGAAGGAAAACACACACACACACTCGCAAATGGCAAAAAATCAACTCACCAATCATAGCTTCATCATAGCTAAAGTGTTAAGATGTTCATATTCATTTTTAAAAGCTTTGATATTATCCTTTTTATTTTATTTATTTTGCCGCTGCCATCCCCAACATGCCAAAAATAAATAGGAATTGTTGTGGAGTTAAATTTGTGAAAGTAATTATCGATTCCACTCGTGTCCAAAACAGTTTGGCTCCAACAGGGTGGTGTAATAGTACAGAAGCTGCGTGCTGAAGCGAGACAAGGAATCCTAACCAGCTCCAGTTTTTATTTCGGTGACTAACGCTGCACCTCGATGTCCCGCAGGCCAAAAGTGAATCGTTGAAGTGCCACGTTACTGTTATTGATTATCGGCATTTGTTTTTGTGTTCCCACAGAATGAGGACTCCTCCACTCACGAGAAACTGGACTTCAAACTGCACTTTACCTGCTCATCCTACCTAATCACTACTCCTTGCTACAGGTTGGTGTCATGTCTCACACCACATTACAACCCACATTATGGAGGTGGAAAATGAATATCCGCAGTAAATGTAACAAAGGTTTTGTTGTTAGTTTCTGAGTTGTCTTAGTTCTTTGTCGTGTTTTTCGTCGAGGAGAAATTGCTAATGGAGTTTCTTGTGTTTTGTTTGGCCAGTGATGCGTTTGCAAAGCTGCTCGAGTCAGGGGACCTGAAGTGCAGCTCGGTCAAACTGGAGGGAGTCATCATGCCCTTCCACCACCTACTGGCCAGGATCTGCTTCCACCACCATTTTTCTGGTATAATATACACACCAGGCCACACAATATTTGTCTCAAGTGACAGACTTCAGCCCTAAAACATCAAGGTACCAGATGAGTAGAGTGTGCACTTGCAGAAATCAGCAATACAGTGCTTGTCAGAAATGAATGAGCATCATAGGAAAGTGTTGAGTATGTTTCTGTGTTGGTAAACTTCTAGTAAGGCCCATGTGGTAAGGAAACATGAAGATAATCACATCATATGATTGCATGCAGTTGTTTCTATTTTTGAAACGTGTTCTTGTTATCTTGTTGGATTAGTTGTGGAGAGGGTCGACTCCTGTGCCTCCATGTACAGCAGGTCTATCCAGGGTCACCACGTCTGTCTGCTGGTCAAAACTGTGAGTGAACCAGTTAAACTTGAGATTTCTTATAACCAATTACTATGTTTAAAATAAAAAAAAAGAAAGTGTGCTTTCAGATTGTGAGCTTGATTTTTCTCTCTCTCTCCGTCCCTCTTCCTCCTAGTCTGTTCAGACAGTGACCATTGACGCTAAATGTGACGAGCCAACGCTGCTTGGGAATGTGCTGGATGAGATCAAGCAGACCTTCTCTCAGTGCTGATTGTGTCCGACAGCCCCAGGGTGCCCCTGACCCCTCCATACCACCCCCCACCCCCCTCGCTGAAACACAACATAATCATGTTATGAAACACTGCGGCTGGCACATCCAGTATCGCCCTATTTATTAGTCCTCAGATTCGCAAGATTTCTATCCCCTTACCTTCTTCTTCAGTGTCCCACACTCTGTTATTCCGCTGCACTCTGAGCTCTGTGGTCACTCCCCGACACTTGATGTTGTTTTACAGACTCGCTGTGTACATGCGCCGTCTTCTCTGCAAAGCACTTTCATCTTCACTTCTGGTTTTTTTATTAACTCCAACAAGCCACCCTGTTCTTCCCCGACTCTGACTCTGACTCGTGCTCCTGTTTCTGGATACCCTGCATCCTCTGCTCTGTCCCGCGTACGTCCGCCCTCCACTTTGTCAGCAGTTCAGTCTGTGACAGTCGTGTAATGTAATGTTGACAACTGGACTTTTGCTGTTGATGGTTGAATTGTGATTTTACTGTTTTTGAAGGTTTATTTTGTCTTTGGTTTGTTTTTGTTGTTTTGTCTCTTTTTTTTCTTTTTTTGTCTGAAACCTGTCTGCGCCTTTGTCTCGCCCCCTTCTTTCTGCCCACTAAACATCAGTGTAAATTCTTTCTGCTCTCTAAATCTGTGTGCGTGTGTGTGTGTGTGTGTGTGTGCGTGTGTGTGTGCGTGTGTGTGCGCGTGTGTGTGCGCGTGCGTGCGCTGCTCGGCATTGTAGTCCTGGGGGAAAAAAACGTGTGACTGACTCTCTCTTAGACTGGTCCGAGCTGGATAAATGGGGACACTCACCTGCTCACAGTTAACAGCCGCAGTGAGAATAGTGCAGAGATGAAACCACAGCTACATATAAGGTATCGGATTTAAACTTCTGTCGGAGCCGTTGCCCCACTCGCCTTTTTGGCTCAGAGCAGATCTGCTAGTGTTTGTTCGGTGATTTGCACAGTAGATCCATGGTTTTTGCTCTGTGCCTTAGCTGTGCAGTCTGACCTACTCCAGTGCTCCGTGAGTCTTGTAGAGCCCCCCACCCACCCACCCTCCCTCCCTCCAAGACCTTGCAACATATCATTCCTTCAACACATCGAAGATTAATTGGAAGGCAGGAGAGTATCAAAATATTGAATGAAACTCCAGAGTCAAAGTGTAACGTGAGATTTCTATTTCATCACAGGACAATTTTTGCTGTGTCACCATTATCGGCCTCTTCAACTCACAGATGGTTCGGTTAGTTGTATAGAAGATATTATATTACTGTAATACACAGAAGGATACTGTTATTTCTATGAAACTGCTATGGTGCTGAGGGTCTTCATTTGTGTCACCACATGGTCAAGTTAGTGACAACACAATCTGGCATGAAGAGAGCTGTCCGTGTTATAATGCCCTGCCTCGAGTGTGGCCGGCTAAGGGACAACAAAGTTACACAGTCAACGTATCTTTTCATTTTAACACCTCCTACAGTTTGCAAGTTGTGCTCGCTGTGAGCAGAGAGCATTACGCGGTCAGTGGTTTTAGGTTCCCTTTCAATCAGTATTGGGCAACGCCGCTTCCAAATTAAGGAAGCGGCCACTCTGTGGACAGCAGAGTGCAGTTTTGTCTGTCTTCATGTGAGACATTTACGCCTGTGCCACGTTGACGTTTGCATCACAGTAACCGACTCCCACCTGGCGCGGACCCAGATAAACTCCCAATGTTTCTTTTCCCTTCAGAAACTGCCTTGCACATTGACATGTTACAATGAACACGAATGGCCATTTTCAGACGAAATGCCTCCTCTTGGGAAAACTCTGAGGTACTTGGATATTTTTAGTTTGTGTCATTCATGTCTGAGGTCACTACCCGGTCCAGCACGACTTAACCTTGTAGTAGCAAGATAAAAAAAACGACTTGGTAGCGTCTCTGATCATATATATATATATATATATATACTGCTAAGGCCCTCTTCATATCTGTCTGCTATTGTAGATAACTACTATGATAATGATGTCTGTGACCTGAAGATTAGGTCGGCCATTCCACAAGATATTCTGTCCTGTGATAGTCTGAATACGGAAGTGATCAGCTGTAGTTCAGGAATGTCAATAGAAGATATGTATGTATTCCCTGTTCCTGAAAACGACTGATAAAAGAGGAAACGGCTCCCCTCATCATACATTGTCCTGATTCTGATCTTTTTCTTGTGCATACTATTTGATTACAATTTGTATATTGCATGATTAGGAATGTACACTTTTTATTTCCTTTTTTTTTTTCCCCTGTTCCATTGACATGCTTACAGAACAACAACTTGTCATTCCAATTTGTCCTTTTTCTTTATAGTTTTTTTTTTTTTTTATGAAGTTTACTTGACCATTCTCTATTTTTGATGGTATTGTGTTTTTATCTATTCAAAGTTCAGACGATTAAAAATAATTGATATTGTTGAATGTTTTAAATTATTAAACCCAGGGGGAGGAAGGCGGTTATGTTTGGTGTCATGACACTGAGGGCATGGGGCTCCGAATTCTAAGTTGAGTTGACCAGGTCACATGAAGCAGTGTACTGAGAGGCAACACACGTTGTCTTAATTCTATTATTGGTTCAGTTGTAGTGAGTTATTTTACCCAAGTTTGGCTTGTGACATTGAAGTATACTCTCGTATGACTCTGACTTTGGAAGGTCCTGTCTGTTTATTTCTCCATTTTCCATTATCAAGCTGTACAATGTAAAATGTTTTAAAGGGGACAACATAAATTATCTATATTCCCTTTAAGGAAAGTCAACCCAAATTGAAAAAAATAAAGGCGTAAGAAGCTGCTGTAGTCTTTTTATTGTGTTACAATGAACGAATAAACACCCACATGTGCCAAAATGTTCAAAATATCCTATGTGAACAGAATATGTAACTGAATAATGAGTGAGGCGGTATGGTGTTTTATATACCTATATTTACACAGACTTTGTTTGGCATATAAACACTTGAATGTGTGCAAGACGTGCAGCTAAACGTATTGCGTTGAACTTCAATTCCCAGAAAGCTTTGCATAACAGCAGAAGTAATCGACCCCTTTACCGACTTAGGGCGAGCAGTTGAGTTTAGTAAAGTTCAGCTTACATAACCACGGGTTTTGGTGTTATAACTTATGTAGAACTAGTTTATTTGAACGCAAAGGTCGCTCTTTTATGTGCGATAGCAACACACCCGAAACAAGGGACATGCTAGCTTTTCGTTAGCATCACTGTCAAGCTCACCGGGATGAGTTTCCCGGTTTCCCTTTCAACATAAAAGCCCCTCTCAAAGCGTTAAATGGAGACGTTATGCAAAACACTGGCTGAGCCATTTAAAAAAATAATGAGCAAACGTTTAGCTTTGTGATATGTTTTGACAACCGGACAGGTGCAGCTGATTTCAATTAGTTAACATTGCATTTAGTTAGTTATCGCCTGAAAAGTGACAAACCGTTAACATATGGATCGAAAACGTTAAAAATGACAGATATGGGCTTTATTTTGAAAACCGTAACCGGAAATGGAATAGGTAGTGAGTGTGGCTTCACAGCAGCGGGTTTAGATGGTTGTTAATAACTGAGGCTACCCGGGGCTGTTCACAACAACAGAGGAAGCAGCACCAGCTCTGACCAAATAAAGCCCCGTCGCGATTTTTTTTTTTAGATCCTGTTTTTGGAACCGTGCTAACGGAAACCAGCGTTAGCGCGTTCCTCAACTGATAGCTTATTGTTTGTACCGAGCAAGCTTTGTCACAGCTGTGGTGGGTCGTTGCCGATATATATTTATATACAAATCATTGTGGAATTATGGCTCAGCATGGACACCATGTAGCCAGTTCCCAAAAAGCCCTGATGCTGGAGATGAAAAGTCTCCAAGACGAGCCAGTCGAAGGGTTCAAGATAACTTTGGTGGACGAGTCCGACATGTACAACTGGGAAGTGGCGATATTCGGACCCCCCAATACACACTACGAGGGGGGGTATTTTAAGGTGAGTAGCTAGTGTTAGCTAGCAGTCGATCTATTGTTCTTTAGCTGGTAGATTTAGCCCACATTTAAGTAAAATCGAGGACAGTCCAACGGTTAGCAGGTAACCGCTAATAACGTTAACTTCGCTAATTGGCAGCTGTTCCCTGTTTAGCGTTACTGTGATAAAACAATCTCCTTCTTTGTTCAACTTTTAAATCGACTCAATCAGGATTATTGCATTTTACTGTTGGCAGCTTGTAAACATTAAAACTTATTTTTCCTTAAAATATATAGAGATGCATCGAGGTCCCCTTTTTATAGTGTCAGTCAGCACGTGAGCACGTTTTTACAGAGTCACTTTTGTGTTTTAAAATAAAACAAAAGGTCGTTAGCATAAACCTGCTAAATGCTCATCACCTTAAGTTAACTAACTCAATCATTCCCTTTGTGTGTGTGTGTGTGTGTGTGTGTGTGTGTGTGTGTGTTTCGTTACAGCTCAACAGCCCTAGTTAGATGAGACTTCTTGTTTGTATATTCAAATGAACTCAATCCATAGTGTGTGGTAACCTTGCTTTTGAAATGTAGACGGGCCCAATCAGAGTCAACAGCCATTTCATTTGTTTTTCATGCACACTTCCTCCCTTGAGAGTGAAAAAATTGTTTTGGTTTCACATGTATTTGTGTTCTTGACAAAGAGGGTTGGCAGTTTACAAAGCCTCCATTAACTTATTAGTTAACTACTCAATTGTCTTGGTATTAAAAGGCACTCAATGCTGTTCGATCATTTTAGGATGACATGAACGTGACCTGGTTGTCTGTACTGATCTTGTCCAAAAAGTTGGAGCTATGGAAACTGATTTTCCACTCACTTTAAGCCCCACTTAAAGTCAGGCACCTACATTGTAAATATAGAATACCATTGCATTTGTTGCCATAGCTGTGTGTGTGTGTGTGTGTGTGTGTGTGTGTGAAATTCAACTTCAGATATTGCAAAACACTGAGTGGATTCCTCCTCACACAAGTCCTGTGCTAATGTGGTTACTCGTCCTATTAGGCACTTTGATTTATTACTTTGCCTGGCAAAGTCAAATAAACCCCTGTTACTGCTGCTTCAAACGTTCCCCGGATAGTTGTTTTTATTGGACGTCAAACAAAAAACAGTGCGCTTTTTATTAATGTGGCATCATGGTCCTGTCTTTCTGAGAAAAAGACTAGAATAATGTAGGTCAGGGCCTTGAAAGCAAGCAAACAAACGCACTCAAACTGTACATGGTTTCTTTTACATGGCATTCTGTTGTTGTTCATAATGCTAAGTCCCGCATTAGCCATAGTTGTTTTCTATGTTACAGTTAAACCTCTCTCTCTCTCTCTTTTTCTCTCTCTCTCTGTGTGTGTGCGCCTCTGTGCGAAGGCTCCTGTGCTCAGATTATCCAGCATATTGTGAATGCTCTCCGTTTGTAAATCATCCCTTCATCAGTACAGTCTTGTTATTCCAGTTCTTGAGAAGCTTGTTCATTTTGCCCCTGGTCCTCTTCGAGCATGTGAACACAAGCAGAGGGCCCCGGTCAGGCTGCCGTAGACGGTGTTCAGTGGATCCGTGTGGGTGCTGTGTACAGGATTCCTTTGTCGGGCCAGGAATGCACAGCCTGCATGTGAAATCCACCGCATGGTTGTGACTCATTGTTCTCCGCCGGGTTTCCATCCAAACAGTTTGCTTTATTCAAATAATTAAAAAAATAGACAAAAGAGGAAAACCCTGTTCTGATCCAGGTTACCTAAACAAACGTGACGCGCTGCAGCTGCCCGGACAGGTAATGACGTCGCACGATACCGAGCTGAGTCAGGTATTTGTTTCACATGGGTGTTGCTCTCGGAGAGTCACACCATGAAAACATTATGCCGGCAGGCACACAGTGGACTATTGAAATTACATTTCAAACGGCACAATATCCACAATACTTATCATAAATTGACCTGTTGGTCTCACAAAAGGCCCCGACATTCATTCACTGGTTCTGAGACATTTTTGTGTGTGTGTGTGTGTGTGTGTGTGTGTGTGTGTGTGTGTGTGTGTGTGTGTGTGTGTGTGTGTGTGTGTGTGTGTGTGTGTGTGGGGTGTGTGTGGGGTGTGTGTGGGGTGTGTGTGGGGTGTGTGTGGGGTGTGTGTGGGGTGTGTGGTGTGGTGTGTGTGGTGTGGGTGTGGTGTGGGTGTGTGTGGGTGGGTGGGTGGGGCCTTCTGCTTTGTCGTGTGAATTATCCCTCTGGGCTCGGAGTGTCTGGTTGCTGGCAGAGGGCCAGTCGGTCTCATAGACAGCAGTGGTCCTGGGACATGTATGAGGCAGATTAGCAGGGTCGCTTTCACTCCCAGAGATGGCAGACTTTAAAGGAGTGTTTGGACAGTGGCTCACTGTGTGCGTTGTTGTTGTTGTTGACGTTCGGTTTGATTCTCCAGACGATATTATTACTACTACTTTTTTTTTAATTCTATTGAATATAATGTTCATCTGAGGCTTAAATATGAGCCGTTGAAATTAACAAGTTTCTGATCTGCTTCAACTGTTTGTTGAGGAAGTCATGTAATTATGACCAAAGCATTAAAACTGCATTTGACATCATTTTAAAAATGTTTTATTTGCTGAGGAGCCCCTTGTTTTTCATCCCTGATCAGAAACTGCAATCTCAAAATTTGTGATGCTTGCAGTTTTGTCTGACACTTGTAATACATCTGCATTAAAATATAGAAATGGATGGAAATCTAGTGAATCACAGCACTTTATTTGCATACAGTGACCTCATTCATTACTGTTATTTTAATCTGTGTTCAAATGAACCCCCTCCTCAACAAGCCAAACTTAGTGACGGTACTTTCCGAGTGGCGTGTTCTGTGTAACGGGCTCAACCGACAGGCTTTACTCTACATGGCATAACGTACAGCGTATCTGAAGTTCTCACTTCAGTTTTAATGTAATAGTTTCATGTCTATACAAGGCAAAGACACAAGCTACACAAATATATCCAAAAGATGTATTTACTTTAGCTGGAATTAGTTAGATAATGTAGCTCTTGTTTATTGTCGAACTCTCAATTTCTCTGTAATCATACTTAAAAAACAAAGTATTGCTGTAACATAAAACCCAAAACCCACCACGTTTACTGTGCTTCTGTGCTCTCCTTGTTGATCAGCTTGTTGGGTTAATAAAACGAGGACGACCAGCGTGTGCAGGTCTGTAAACTCCACGATGACGTTGCTTTTTCTGAGACGCCGAAGTCTTGTCGGTTGTCGTTTGGCAGATTTGACCTCTTCCTGCCCTGTTTTACCGTGTTCTGTATGCACAACTATAAGGTCACGCTCATGGTGATGTACGACAGAGTCTACGCTGTGCGTGCAGTGACTGCACTGCTGTGTAAGAGCCTGGGATCTGTGAAATTGGATGGGTGACCGTGTTCGAAGTGCTGCTGTGTCATCACCTGGTAGCTTTAATTGTCATTTGTTCTTGCATGTAAATGGGGTCTCCAAATCTCCAAATATACTGTGAAACAGAACGTCTTTCGTATCTCGAGGCAAGCGGTTTTCTCGAGTGGCACTGACGGACCACTTCTTCACAGCAAACATGAAAAAGAGGGGGGTGTTTCCCTTTTGGTTTTTGGCCCAGCTGACTCTGGGCCTTCCCTTCCTTCCTCTTCGTGTGCATGCTACATAATTCGTACCAGCGGTTGGAGGGGAGGGAACAGGCAGAGAGGACCCAACCCGGCTGCAGAGGGCTTTTGCTAGGCCGAGTGGTTGGTCATGTCTCTCCCCCCCCCCCCCCCCCCCCCCTTCTCTAGCATGCACACGAAGAGGAAGGAAGGGAAGGCCCAGAGTCAGC